AGAAAGTGTATATGAAATATCAATGAATGTCATGTTTAGATTTGGATCCCATTGCCAAGAGATGTCATGATGTCTATGCATATATTCCAAAATCCAATTTTTTTCCAAAATCCAAATCACTTCTGGTCCCAAGCATTTCAGATAAGGGAGACTCAACTTGTACTGTATTTGGGGATTATTTTTATTGTCGGTTTGCAGTAACTTGCAGAAGGCAAGTAACTTGCAGAAGGTAAGAAACAAGGCTGGGAATCATGCGGGGGTTCAGGGATTAAATTGCATGTATATGTTTGTCTTCACTGGGGAGGTTCCACAATCCAGAAATGGGTGTCCACTTGGATACACCACTTTCCCTTAAAAAATGCCCTTGGCCTCATGATCAATGACCATGCTGCCTTTGAGATCCAGGAAGCTGTCATCCCAAAAAGTCCCCTTTTCTAGATTCTGATTAAAAGCAACATTTTTTACTAGATTCCCAGTACATGCGAGGAAGATGGATCTGTAACCATTACCCAGAATTGCTCACTCCTTGGGGAGAGAAGAAGAAAAAGAAGACCTCTCTCAGTCACAGGCACCAGCAGCGTCTCCAGATTTTTTGTAATCTCCATTTTATTATTCATATAAAAATATTCAGCTATTTACATCCAATAAATATATTTCAGTAACAAATAAATTACACAAGTGGTGGGGTCATGGGCAAGCGAGAGGCTCTCTTGATCAAAGACGCCTGTCTTATTATTTACAGACTTTAATTTTATTTTTATTTTAATTTTAAAAAAGGGGTAAAAGAAGGAAGCCAAGTGAGGTCGGCCATGGTGTGAGGCATGCAGGGGCAGGGGAGGATCTGGCTGGGCAGAGAGCTTGGCTACCAGGCAGGGCCACCACAGCCAGGGCTTTGGGGAAAAGAAGGATATCTACATGGCATGCTCCCCGCTTCCAAAAGGAAGGGAAGGGAAGCTCAGTTCAGTCTCAACAGTGGGTTCTTGGGGGATTTTTGTTTTGTTTAAAAAAAGGAAGAAACATCTCTCTTTCTCCCTTTTCATCTCTCTCTCTCTCACGCATACACATGCACACACACAGAATGGAGGTGAGATACACAGACCAACCTATGAGCCACCAGGCACACATCCTCGTGTACAAACTGAAATGCACAAGGAGTGTGCAAGGCGTGAATGGGACAGGAGAGTGCAATTGAAATCCTGCTTCCGCCACAATCTTTGTCCAACCCTTTGGCCCCCCATCCCTACCTTTCCGCTCACCCCCTTGAATATAGGAATATAGCCCTTTTCCAGGTGAGGCTTTCTCCCACCTCTACACTCACTTCTCTACCATCTCATCCATGTGAGTCTCCTCCATGTCTCCTCTTTGGGCTGCCTTTTCCCAACAGCCAGCCCACTCTGTTCTCCTTTAAACGGCCCAGAAAATTTGGGGAAAGGAGGATTTACACACCATCATTCTAGTCCTCAGCCTTTCCTTTGGGGAGAATAAAAAGGCGCGCAACTAGCCCGGCCCAAATATTGCATACAGCCGGTCATCACTGGTCAGTATCAAAAAATTGGAAGGGAGAACAGAAGAGTATGGAGCCAAAATGGCATCTGGGCACTGGGCTCCAGCCTGCTTTTTCCAAGGAGCGTTCACAGCATCACAGTTACGTTAAGTCACGGGGCCGCTCTGACAACCAAGACAACCCAGCAAGTCCGTCTGTCCATGGCTAAGTCTCTAGTGAGGCCAAACTCACCATCCAAAGGCAAAGGAAAAGTGAAACCACCTCCCACAAAGTCCTAGGCATGTCCCAGAAGGAAGCACGGCCGAAAACATTGAACGATAAGAGGCGCACCAGGGGAAGAGTGCTTTGGCAGTGTATACAAACTGGTAATGCGCAGTGGTTGTTAGAAAACACACCAGGTCCAAAAATAAAAAGAAGTCCTTAAATAGGATGATTATTTCCTTTGTTTCGCTTTTTTTATTTTTAAGAAAAAGGTCATAGTCCCAGCCGGGGGCAGTGATCCCAGCCTTGTTCATGAGGTAGTTGAATGATATGCAGGTGAGTATCAGTGTGGCTCATACCGACGACTCCTCCGGGTTGGAGTCCGGCAACGCTTGCCTCTGCTTGAGCTTCCTGCGCAGCTCTTCTGCCAGGTCGCTGTAGTCCGGACGCTCCTCGGCGCCCAGGTTGAGGCGGATGTACCCGTTGGAGGACGAGCCGCGGATGTTGCCCAGGTTGATGCGGTTGGGCGAATGGAGAGGCGGCGACTGCAGCGGCTGGCCGGGGATGCCATTGGTGGTGGGTGATGGAGTGGTCCCTCCGTTCTGGCACACGGCGTGGCCTGGGACAATCTTAAGCGAGCCGTCCGAGTAGTAATAGCTGGCCGGGTCCCAGAGTTTCTCATCCGAGTCCGAGGTAGTGCTGGGAATGAAGGTGGGACTCTTGGCTTCCTTGGGCAGCTCAATGGGGTACACCAGGGTGCTTTCAATGGCCTTGGAGCCCTTTTCAAGTTCTTCCTTCAGCCTGCGCCTCAAGGAAAACACCACCAGCAGAAGCACCAAGCAGACGGCTGCCAAAGCGATCACCACCATCCACACCAGACCCAAGTTCTCCAGCGGAGCCCGGGCTTCCAGAGAGGTGGCCGAGTCAGACAGGACCGTGACCACATAGCTCTCAACCATCAGTTCGTTCAATTCCTCCAACTGGATGCATCTGTACTTGCCCCCGTGCCTCAGGCTGACGTCCAAGATGATCAAGGCCTGGAGGTGGGTGTCATAGAGGACTGAAGTCTGTTCCTCAGGCAATTCCTTCCCATTGAAGGTCCAGAGGGCTTTGGCCAGGTTGGAGGTGAGGCGACAAGGAAGCACCAAGTCTGTGCCCACCATCACTGTGACATTCTTGGCAATGGCCTTGGTTCCTGGAAGGTGGAAATAGGAAAAGATGCAGTCACCTTAACTATTCTTTTGTCAACAAATGGAAATCATAGGAACAGAGGGAGCAGCTGAATACTGATTCAGACCCCCTGGTCTATCTAGCTTAATAGTGACTACACTGAATGGCATCAGCTGATGGTTGAGAGGATGCGGAAGAAGGAACAACTATTACAACCTGCGAAATCCAGAAACAAAATAGCTTAACATTTACAGGACCTATTGGCCCATCTGTTGGAGCTCTTAGATATGAAATTACCCTGATAATTAGAATCATAGAATCATAGAATTGAAAGAGACCACAAGGGCCATCCAGCCCAACCCCCTGCCATGCAGGAACTCCCAATCAAAGCATCTTCTCATTGCAATAGCCCAACTCAAAAGATCTGACAAAACACAGAAATACCCCAATTCAGGAGAAATGAGTGTCCAAATAGCCATGGAAGGGCTGTCTGGCAAACACAGAGGACTGACCTGGCCGGCTGGCACGCAAGGGGCTGCACATTGTTGGCTCCATACCCAAATCTTGGAACAACACTGAAGTCCTACAAGAGGAAAGAATCGACACATCACTGCATGGAACAATTCTCCAGGACTAGTGGTACAAGTTAATGGCTAAGAAAAGCATGTATCCGTTTGACATTAATAGGATCAAAACCAGGAGCTGTAGTTGGCTGGTCTGTGCCTAAGGACAATTTCCTTTCAGAAAAACTGACTTGTAGAATTAGAATGGCTAAAGGCAATTTTTTAAAAAAATGTATGTTTGCCACTATCTGGGCTTTTTTCATTGCTTGAATAACTGAGCAAGCTTCAGAGAGGAGGTGTCACCATCATATCAGCGATCATTTTGGACTTCATCATTTTAAATTGGTTATGCTCTTAAGGGTACTTTACTTTATGTAAGTTATATGCACATAGCTGATTTTGGAATTAATGTTTGTATTCCTCAGCTGACTATGATTTGTCATCTTGATGATTTTTTGTCTTGGGGATTTGGGAAAATAAAATACTTTTTGAAACAAACAAACAAACTAGGAGCTGCAAGCATTCTACACTCTTGGTGCAGCTGCAGTTTGACCTCTAAAGATTGCAGCTTTGATTTAAAAGGGAAGTTTCTAAACTACATAATTTGGGTGAGGAGGTTGCAGATTCATCAAAATTTGGAAAATGCAGAGTAGCTGGACAGGGTTCATGAGAGCAGATGCTTCAGTGCATAGACATGCATATCCCACAAAGTGATCTCCACTTTTCCCTTCCTCCACTGCACCATCCTTTCCCAAACTCAGCTGGCATGTCTCTTACCCATCATAGGCATCAATGCGGACACATCGACTTCCATTCCAGGTCCAGGCACAGTAAGGGTCCTTGGCAAGGACGCAGTCGGAGCAGGAGTGGTACTTGCTGCAATCTGCCACAGGAAGCTGAATTACTTGGGAGTTGGAGCCAACAAACAGCACTCTCTAAGAAGAGAAGAGAAGAGAAGAATATCAACAGTGGAATGACATCTGGAGTCACACGGTTTTGCCCCCATATTAATCATAGCAACCAAGGTATCTATTACCATCTCATTCTTTGGCACACAGGTATAAACATCTCGTGCCAAGTATGTGAACACAAGGCTCTAAGATCCTCTTAGTTTGCTAAAGCACAAATGTTTCTAGCTCCGATGGTTGTTACAGATAAAGTCTTGAGAACTTTGCAGGCAAACACAGAAGCCAAATGGCACAGTCCTTTCTGCAATTTTCTCTCACTCTGTCTGGGGACAGATTCAGATCGACCCATGACCAGTCCTGTCCCCTGCCTCTTCCCACATTTCTCAACCCAAAGGTGGTGGCTGTTCTTGTTGTGTGCCTTCAAGTCATTTCCAACTTATGGTGACCCTAAGGTGAACCTCTTACTATCATCATCACCACCACCACCACCACCACCACCACCACCATCATAATATCCTGCCTTTCTCCCAATATAGGTACTCAAGGCGATGTATTATGTGTTTTCTTGGCAAGTTTCTTCAGAGGGGGTTTGCCATTGCCATCCTCTGAGGCCGAGAGAGTGTGAATTGCCCAAAGTCATCCAGTGGGTTTCCATGGCTGAGCCAGGATTCGAACCCTGGTCCACAGAGTCACAGTCCCATGCTCAAACCACTACACCACATTGGCCTCTCAGCCCAAGGATCCTTTCACAAACTCCTTTTCTGAATCTTAACAACAGAATTCGGCAAATCAAGCATGTGAGCTCAACATGCGTTATTTATCCTCAGCAAAAGGATATGTGTGGGCATAAAGACATAAAACATGCAAAAGGGAGACTGTCTCTCTTCTCAGAACCCATGCTAGTTTGGGGATTCTTGGAGGGGTATCCAAAAAACAATGTAGCTTTTCCATGTGCTGCTGATCATTTAGTGCCATAGAGGTGAGACATCTGCTTCCAGTAGGGATTCAGGGGAGACCTCATAAATGGTGTTATGACCACTGGCCATGTTCTCTGGTGGAATTTGGGAGTTGTAGTCCCCTCCCCTTGCTTTGGCTCCAATCTTAATGTGGGGACCTTCCTTACCTTTTGGAGAGATAACACCAGGCTCTTGATAGGCTGGGGTTGCTCAAAGATCTGCAGCTCTTCAATGAGATGGACTCCAGAGGGCAAGACCACTGCTTTGTGCAACCAGCCATTCTCTGTGGAAGAGCCAAGAACAAAGTAGATGGTCATTAGAGAAATCATCATAGGAAGAAGTTCCAAGATGTATAATGAACACCTTCCCTGCCAGCTTGCAAAACCCCAGCTCCCACCTTCTGCACCCATCCCCAAGAGAAGTAGCCCAAGAGCAAGGCTTGTTTTAGACCCTTATGCCCAGGACCAGGATGCCAGCCACATCCTCCTGAGAGCCACAGCCTCTAAACCAGGGAGGACAAAGTGAATGCAGTCCTCCAAAGCCCTTGGTTCCTCCAGACATCCCAGAGTGATCTTTTTGGGTCTCCCAGAGACACAAAAGGTCCAAAACAGACACTGCAGAAACCATCCAGTTTGGGATCACTTTAACTGCCCTGACCAGTGGATTCTCTAATACAGTGATTCCCAACCTTTGATCTTCCAGATGTTTTGGACTTCAGCTCCCATCATTCCTGACTGTCGGTCAAGTTGGCAGGGGCTTCTGGGATCCGAAGTCCAAAACAAATGGAGGAGCAAAGGTTGGGAATCACTGCTTTAATACAATGGGTCCTTGGTTTCCACTGGGGTTTGGTCCCAGGACCCCCAGTGGATACAAAAATCCATGGACATGCAAATCCCATTAAATGCAATGACATAGTGAAATGGTACCCCATATGTAAAATGGAAAAAAAATCAATTTTATATATATATTAAAATATTTTCAAGCTGTGGATGGTTGAATTCATGGATGAGAAATCCGTGGATACAGAGAACTGACTGTACAACTGCTTGTAAAAATAATAACTGTGTTATCTTAGAAGAGGCATCCTCTCTCCTTCTCTTCCCCACGCAGAAATGAATGCTTCTTCTACAAGAAAGCCTCTTCCATGACACGCGTCACGTATCATCTCACAACAGAGGAAGCCATCAGAAAAAGGATATGCCTTGATTCCTAGCCACTTTTTTGTTCTCATATGCAAATTTAATTGATAGCTTAATGCGCCACGATTTCTTAAGAACTGACATCTGATTAATGCAAACCATATGCTCCATTGTGTAAGATCTATTCAAGAGGATTTCCTTCTTTTTTAAAGGAGCCTTTGAAGTGTAGTAATGTCTGATGATATCTGGCCATTTTTGGAAAAAATTAACTATCATTTGAAAGTGTGTGGGCAAAGCCTGGTGATATCTCAGAAGGCAGAGGAGGTGGTTGAACAGGTGGTTCAAGGCAATAGCATGGCATAATTCCTCGCCTCTCTGCTTGACTCGCTAAGCCGGATGTACGTTAAACAAAACTTTTCTGTGGCTGCTTTGTCTTAACATGGGCTTTTATTATATATTATTTATTTGTTTGAGAGCCAGCATGGTGTAGGGGTTTGAGATGTTGGACTAGAACACTGCAGAAGACCAGGGTTCGAATCCCCGCTTGGCCACAGGAAACCACTGGGTGACCTTGGGCAAGTCTCATGCTCTCAGCCTTAGGGAAAGGCAATAGCAAGCCCCCTCTGAACAAATCTTGCCAAGAAGTCCCTGTGAGAGGTTCACCTTTGGGTCTCTATAAGTCAGAAATAACTTGAATGCAGACAACAACAACATTTATTTGTTTAATGTTTTTTAATGGGTTTGAAATCTATGGAAAAGTGGTATAAAATGCTTTTGTAACACAGGCAATTTGTGTTGGCAAGATTTGTTCGGGGGGGGGGTTGCCACTGCCTTCCTCTGAGGCTGAGAGAATGTAATTTGCCCCCAGTGGCTTTCCATGGCCCACCAGGGATTCAAATCTTGGTTTCTCAGTCCTAGTCCAACACAGGAGCCACAACATTCTCCTGGTTCCCAGATAAATTTCAACTATGAAATTCTTGGCAAGAGTTTTGCTTTGCCATGTGCGGTCTGGGGTCTTATTGTTCCGTACCTGTGCCAATGTACAACACTTGGTAAGGTTTCCCATCCAAGCCGTGGACTCGTTCCACCACCAGCTGGGTGAAGTTGGCATCCTTCTTAACCAGCAACGGCCGGTTGCCTTGGGGCAATACCACTTTATCCATGAGTGGGTGCTTCTTGGCAAAGTTCAGGGTGTTGTCTGGCAGCTCCAAGGAGCTGGTGAAGCTGTTGTGCCGATGCCAGTCGGTGATACACTGGAAGAAAAGAATGGAGAAAGGACTTCAGACCAGAATTTACAACCTACAGGTCTAACTCAGGACTGAAATTGCAGAG